AACTGGTCTGCTCTGATGCTGCTACTTTTCAACCCTCCCTTCCTGCAGAGAAATGAAGCAGAATTGGGAGCAGGGTCTTGTCAGACACACAAGCATGGCCAGAACGAACCGAACTGGGTTACAATAGCGTGCTTTGCTTACCGCTGCTTTTGAAGACTGCCCCAAAAGTGCAGCTGGTTCAGGAGGCAGCACCCCGGTTATTGTGAAGAGGTAGCTGATGGGAACATACCTTGCCCATCTTTTAAAAAGTTACACTGGCTGCCAGCTTGCTTTTGAATCTAATTCAAGGTGCTGGTTATGACCTTTACAGTCTAGGACGGGGTGGCCAAAATGCGGCTCGGGAACCACATGTGGCTCTTTCACACATATGGTGTGGCTCCCGGGAGGGTGGCTGGGGGGGCAAAGGGGAGGCATGCCTCCCTGACCAGTCTTCTCTTCCCCAGCCAGCGTTCCCCTCCCTGGGTAGGCTTGAGGTGAGGGGGAGCAGAGAAAGAGAGCACCTTTAACTTCTCCCAAAGCCCCCCCCCCCCGGCTTGGAGAAGACATTTGCCTCTTTAAATCCCTTCTCCAAGCCAAGCCGGGTGGCATCGGGGCGTGGGGAGGGTTGGAGAACACATTTAAAGTTAAGGTTGCTTTCTTTTCACCTCTCCCTTCCTCCCCATTTATTAGCTTTCTTTCCAGCTCTCTCTCTTTTTTCCCCCCTTCCTTCCTTTCTCCTCCATCGATTTGCTTTCTTTACTCCTCATTCTTTCTCTTCTCCTTTCTTTCTCTTCCTTCCTTCCTTCCTTCCTTCCTTCCTTCCTTCCTTCCTTCCTTCCTTCCTTCCTCTCCTCCCTCATCTGCTTTCTTTGTTTCTTTCTCTCTCTTCCTTCCTCCGCCTCTCTCCCCATCTACTTGTTTTCTTTGTTTCTGTTTCTCTGTCTCCTTCTTTCTTTCTACCTCTTTCATTCTTTCCATCCTTCCTCCCCCTCCCTCCCCATCTATTTGCTTTCTTTACACTTTTCTCTTTTTCTCTCTTTCTCCCTCCTTCCCTCCCCCTCCTCTCATCTATTTGCTTTCGTTGTTTTTCTCTCTCTTTCTTTCCACTTCTTTCTTTCTTTCTTTCTTTCTTTCTTTCTTTCTTTCTTTCTTTCTTTCTTTCTTTCTTTCTTTCTTTCTTTCTTTCTTTCTTTCTTTCCATTGCTCTCTCTCTTAGACAAATAAATATCATTAGCAAACAAATAAATATCACTGGACAAATAAATATCATTATCAAGATCTGTTTTTACCCCTTTTGTTTTTATTTTTGGAAGTCTCATTTAACGTTAATAAAAAGCAAATCTGCATATTTTCCAATAAAAACGTGTGCGTCATATTTGTTCATGTCTTGCAGCTCTCGGACATCTGACGTTTATTCTATGTGGCTCTTATGTTAAGCAAGTTTGGCCACCCCTGTTCTAGGATCAGCGTGGGGCAGGCAGACATGCGCATGCATGCGGCCTCTGCTGCCTGTTGCTAGGCCATCTGTGTGAGGTAAAGGAGGGGGGAAGCGAGGCGGTGGTGATGAGGAGGAGGACAGCAAAAATGAGAGGTGGGAGGCAAGAGGGGAAGGAAGGAAGGAAGGAAGGAAGGAAGGAAGGAAGGAAGGAAGGAAGGAAGGAAGGAAGGAAGGAAGGAAGGAAGGAAGGAACCAATCAAGAATGTGGGGTGGGGGTGGCAGGAGAGGGCTCCAAGAGCCGCATGTGGCGTGGCTCATGAGCTGTGGTTTGGCCACCCCTGGTCTAGGATGCACATATCTAAAGGGCTGCCTATTTCCATGAGTCCTCAGGCCCCAGTTACAGTCCTCAGGTTGCCCCCTCCTGGCTGTGCCCCCACGTATGGCAGCCTAGAGCCGGTGCCTTTCCCATTGTTGTCCCGCTTTGTGGAATAGGCTCCCCGGGGAGGTCAGTAGGGCACCGCCGCTAGAGGTTTTAAGGAGGCGCTGCCAGGGCATTTTATCTGCCAGGGTTTTGATGCGGTTCAGGCTACAGGCGTAGGGGTGGGGAAGGGGGGGGGACTATTTTGCACTTGGTATGTTTAAAATTCTGATCTGTAAGCTGCCTTGAGCCACCAAGCAAAGGCAGGGTGGGAACCCTTTGATAACAAAAATAAGTTGGGGAGCCAATGAAGACGAACAACATCTGGACCTGGCATCAGTCTGCACTGTCTGCTTGGCAAAAACCCCGATTCAATGAAGGTCAACCTCCTCTTTAATCATACGCTGTCCATTTGGCACAAGACAGACTCTACACCTGTCTGCCAAGGAGTACATGGCTCCCCCCACATGCCAGAGGCAAGTTGCTCCTAAAGCTTAACGTGACAATCCAGGCACCTTCTCAGCAGTGTCAGTGACCAGAGTAGGGCTTTCCCAAGGGAAGGAGGAAGTCTACATCTTGCCCATACAGGAACTCGGAGGCAAGCGTGCCAGACCCTTGGGGAGCCGCCCACTGGGGAAGGTGGTGCCCACCAGTATCCAGCTGTAATATCCAACAATACTGACATCCGCAAAGAACAAGCAGAGAAGAACAGCAATTTAAGAGCAAAGTAAGAAAGTGGCTGTTTTGGTTAAGAGCTGGTGTCTGTGTTTCATGCTCCAACATTCCTGCACTTTTGCTAATTCAGTTTAATTTGCCTGCCGCCGTTGGCATTTTACCTCCAAGACTAATTTGAATTAATTTGGCCCCGGCGCAAGGCAACAAAGTGAGCCCGTTGTGAGCGCCAGGCTCGTCATCTCCGCCCAACCGGCGGTGGTGGTGGTGGGGGGAGGGGTGGGTGCTGTCATCTGAAGCCAAGGCACTTACGTGGGATGCTCCATCGACACTTCAAGGACGAGCTCTGGCGGCAGTTCAAATAACTCTGGGTCTTGGCCGTTGGCTTGCAGAATCAATGGAAGCACATCAAAGCGGCCATATTTGGCCTTCCAACCAAGCTGAATGCATAACTGAGAGCAGGGGGGGGGGAGAGAAACAAGTTGATGCTTTCCTCTCTCTAGAGGCAGAGGAATCTTAACTCCTGAGGTGCTCCCAAGTGGGGCATCTGTACAGATCCTTGCTTTGGAGATGGGGTCGAGGCCTCTCCCTAGATCCAGCAGCCACACGCAGCTTGAAAGGGGGCAACAACCTGGGCCGTCCCCGCATCTGGCGCCCCCTCTGAGATGGGAGGACTCACAATGGGATGGCAGAGCTCATGTAGGTGGGGTAGAACCAGCAAGCTGCACCAATGACCAGAGCAGGGCTGGTTTTCTTGGCAACATGGAAGCGAGCTCACATCATCACTGGACTGAAAGCACGGGTCCAGTTGCTGCAGGAACAGGAAGGGGTTTTCCAACCTCAGAAGAACCATATCTCTCACAAGGAGCTGGGGAGAGCAGCCTGTTATCACACACACCCCCTCAACCCTTAGCTTCTGTGCAATTCCCTCAGGATGTTCGGAGCTTAAAATGAAGGGCCTGGCTGGCTGTTGCAAGCTGTCCTCCAGGGACATAGCCAGTTTTTTTAGTGGGCTTTAATTTTTGTTGCTCTTTGTTTTAATGCTCACTTGTGTGAACTCCACATTGGCTGGATCTCCCACAATGGACCCATCAGTCATTTGGTAGCCGGCATAACGGATGAGTTGGATGTTCCATATACGGAAGTCATGTTTCCCATCTGTCCTTTGGGGAAAGACAGTGATGGTGGACCTGTTTGAGAGAGAGAAGGCATGAAAGCCCATCCGTGCTTGTGAGCCTAGGGGATCCATATGGAATTAAATGGAAAGAGCTCACCTACCGTATATTCCCACCATTGGTGGAGTACTCCAAGTGTCGACAGAGGTGCTCAAACATTTCCTTGGCAGTGGCACAGCTACGAGCATCAAACACCTAAGATAGCCCCGTTGGGGAGCAAAACGTTAGTTCCTGATCGTAGTCAGCATCAAGAAGAGTAACTATTAGGCTGCCTAGCAGTAGGAAGGAAACCACCACTGCCTCCAAACATGGGTAGGCTATTGTACTACTATTATGCCACAGTAATCATCTTGATCTTCTAGTGTGGGTGGCACCATCCCATTGGGAACAATTGCTATGATGCTCCAGAAGCACACCCCCTGGCCACGTGTGGATCCAGCCCCGGCCAACTCTTAGGGGACCCTTAGCTATGAGCAATGCCACCCTAAGTGGAGTTACACACACCCAAGTCCACTGGAGGAGGGTGCGGAGGAGGGCGTAACTCTGCTTAGGATGGTACTGCAATTTATTCCGGTATGAACTTTGATAGGCTTTATTTTATTGAACTGGCAGCCCCTTCACTAAACAGTTCCATAACCTGGATTTGTGAGCAATGCTCCCTCTATGCTGCGGAGTCCTGTGAGCAAAAATTCTATTCTGTGAGCTCCTGGCATTAAAGTGGTGAGCGAGCGATGGGGCCGCTGCATGAATCAGTGTGCTCTGGAGCCAACCAGGCCCGTAGCCAGGGTTTTTTAGTTTGGGGGGCCTTTTAAAAAGTCAGGGGGCACAGAAATTCACCCGCGGCCCTGCTTCTCCCTCAGCACATTCAAAGGGTCCCTTTAAATGCTTTGGGGGAGAAGCGGGGGCCGCGCATTTGCACTCCAAGCCATGAATTCACGGCTTGGAGTGCAGATGGGCACGGCCTCCCCCCACTTCATCCCAAAAGCTGGGGGGGCTTGGGATGAAGTCAGGGGGCCTTGGGATGAAGTCAGGGGGCAGGTCCTGGGAGGCCCCACTGTAGCCAAAGGCCTGGAGCCATCCTTCCCCAGCCACAACAAAAACACATGAGCCGGAGGCTAAAAAACTGTGAGCTAGCTCACACTAACTCAGCTTAGAGGGAACACTGGTTGTGATGGAAGTTCATAAAATTATTTGTGGTGCAGAGTAAGTGGATAGAGATAACTTTTTCTCCCACTCCCGAAATACTGGAACTCAGGGGCACCTTGGAAAGTTGACAATATTAGCTTCTAGAGAGACAAAAGGATGGACTTCTTCATAGAAGGCATAATTAACCCAGTACCAAAAGGATACAGTGATGGCCACTAGTGCTTTAGATGGATTTCAAAGAAAATTTCCTGGAGGACTATTAGGGGAGAAGCCGTGTCTCAGTGCTAGAGTGTCTGTTATGTGTGCAGAAGGTTCTCGGTTCAGGCTCCAGCACCTGCCTTTAATGGGAACAGGCAGGAGGAGATATGAAAAAACCCTCTGCCTGAAATCCTGGAAAGTGGCTGCCTGTCAGAGTAGACAACATTGGCCTGGATAAATCAGTGGTCTGGCTGAGGATAAGGCAGCGTCACAGTTGTTCAGTGGCTATGATGACTGGGTGGTACTCCATGTTCAGAGGCAGTGCACCCCGGAGTCCCAATTATTGAGGGGAGGTGACAACAAGCAAGTTTTTTGTTTCTGTTCCCTGTTTGTGGGTCTTGTGGAACATCTGGTTGGTCACTGTAGGGAATAGGCTTCAAGACTAGAAGGACCCCTGGTCTGATCCAGTAGAGTGGTTCTTACCTCATTATTAACACGAGAATAGCCCTGCTGGGTCAGACCTATAATTGTGCAGGCTTATATCAGGTGACCCCTGACCTGGGTAGCTCAGACTAGTCCAATCTTGTCAGATCCTGGAAGCTAAGCAGAGTCAGCCCTGGTTAGTATTTGAATGGGGGACCACCAAGGAAGTCCAGGATCTCCCCATCTCTTGCCTTGAAAACCCCATGGGGGTCACCAGAAGTCAGCTGTGAGTTGACAGCACTTTCTACTGCCCATCATGCTTTGCCTTAATTCTTGGGCACTGCACATTTCTGTCTCACAAAGACATTCCAAAAACCCATGCACACCCATGCCACATGTGACCAGCACCTTCATGGTCCATTCCACTCCATTCAATGGAGTTTCAAACCGACCCATTGTGTCAACTGTCAGTCACCTGTAAATTGGACCACTGGATTCTCCCAATACATCTTGGGGCGTTTCTCCAGGCTTGCCTGGCTGCAAAGTTAAGCTCTTCCATAGTCAGCTGGTAAGTTCCTGTGGCTTCAATCTCCTTGGCTACAGCTTCCAGGCGGGACAAGTGCTCCTTTATTTGGGGCCTCGGGACAAAAGAAACAGCTGCTAATGAACAGTGTCTGAATAGCCAGGCTGATGTCATTCCCAAAAGCAATTACCCCCCCAAAAAAGTGGATGCACAGATGTGACAGTGGAGGAAGTACTGAACACCTGAGCACAGTCCATCAGGAATACCTCTTGCACCAGCCCCAGATGACAACAAATGAGGCCGCGCATTCAGTTCTGTGGGGCGTGTGCTGGAGAGCATCGTGATTGCTTGTTCTTGGCATTTAAAAGATGGGACATTTCCAGCAGAACCATGGTCCTTAGGGGCCACCTTATGCATTAGATCAGCAGTCCATTTGGACCAGTATTACCAGTACTTCATAAGGGAGGATCCAACATTAAACTGCTGCATTAGAGTTCATGAACAAGCCTGCTACCTTATTTATAGTCCACCTTTCCCACGGGGACTCAAGGTGGATTACTAAATCAGTACAATCTGGTTTTAAGAGGGAACAGGGATTCCTTTTTCAATATAGGGGATACTATCCAGCATATCCTCCAGTAATTTCCTATTGTATCTGCTTATCTTGCATTAGACTTTATGTTAATCATCCTTTATATTAATAATACTTTGTGTTAATCATCACAGTAGTCAGTTCTGGCCCTCACTGAGTTAATTGATCCCTCTTTTTATTAGATCTTGTTTTAAACCACCCTCTGTTTGTTCAAGTGAATGGGAACCAGAGGAACTATGGGGTGAAACCAGATATATTGTCAAAGAAGAATGCTCAAAAACTATTCCTGTAGCCAAAAGAGATGAACACCTTTAATGGATGACTGAGGAAACTCTTAAAATTGCTTAAAATAGATGGAAATAGAATCAGAAGTCTAAATGCAGCATTCCAGCAACTGGCATGTCTACAGACAAAGAGAACTATTTAGAAAAACCAGTTTAAAGAAGACAAGAACAAAAAAGGAAAAATAAGAGATCTGTTCCACAAGATCCAAGAAATCAAGTGGAAATTGAACGCATGGTTAGGCATGCAGAAAGATCAACATGGAAAGACATTAACTGAGCAGGACAAAATAAAGAAGAGATGGGAACAATACACTGAAAATCTATACAGAAGAGATGAAGGGGTGACAGATTCCTTCCTAGAAGAATCTTCTGATGAAGAACCTGCAGCTTTAGAAAGTGAAGTGAAAGTTGTGCTCAAAGCAGTTGGGAGAAACAAATCACCATGAGTAGATGGATTCCAAGCCACAGAAAAAGAGTCCATCAAAATCTTAATGAGAATATGTCAACTAATATGGAAAATGAAACAGTGGCCCACAGACTGGAAACATTCGATCTAAATTTCAGATCTGAAAAAGGAGATGCAAAATATTGCAACAATTATCAAACGATCTCATTAATTACTCGTGCAAGTAAAGTGATGTTCAAAATCTAACAACAAAAACTGTTACCATAATGGAACGAGAAATGCCAGATGTTCACACTGGATTCAGAGATCATTTTGCAAATTTATGTTGGTTACTGGAGCATATGAGAGAATTTCAGAAGAAAATCGTAGATTACAGCAAAGCAAAGCTTTTGACTGTGTGGATCATGAAAAGCTACAGTTGGCATTAAAAGAAATGGGTGGGCCACAACATCTGATTGCTTTGATGTGTAACCTGTACTCTGGACAAGAGACTACTTGTAGGACAGGATATGAAGAAACAGAATGGAGTTGTAGTAGATAACTCAATGAAAATGTCAAGACAGCGTGCAACTGCAATAAAAAAGGCAAACACTATGCTGGGGATTATTAGGAAGGGAACTGAAAACAAATCAGCCAGTATCATAATGCCCCTGTATAAATCGATGGTGTGACCTCATTTGGAGTACTGTGTACAGTTCTGGTAACCACACCTCAAAAAGGATATTATAGCATTGAAAAAAGTGCAGAAAAGTGCAGAAAAGGGCAACTAGAATGATAAAAGGGTTGGAACACTTTCCCTATGAAGAAAGGTTAAAGCGCTTGAGAGCCAGACTGGTGTAGTGGTTAAGTGTGCAGACTCTAATCTGGGAGAACTGGGTTTGATTCCCCACTCCTCCACTTGCACCTGGCTGGATGACCTTGGGCAAGCTGTCGTTCTGACAAGAGCTGTTCTCTCAAGGACAGCTCTGGAAAAAGCTCTCTCAGCCCCACCTACTTCACAGGGTGTCTGTTGTGTGGAGGGGAAGGGAAAGGAGTTTGTAAGCCGCTCTGAGACACCTTTGGGTAATGAAGGGTGGGGTATAAATCCAATCTCTTCTCTTCTTCTTCTTCTCTTTAGCTTGGAGAAATGACGGCTGAGGGGTGACATGATCGAAGTTTATAAGATTATGCATGGGAAAGAGCAGGTAGAGAAAGAAATACTTTTCTCCCTTTCTTACAATACAAGAGCTCGTGGGCACTCAATGAAATTGCTGAGCAGTTGGGTTAGAACGGATAAAAGGAAGTACTTCTTTACCCTGTTTCCCCGAAAATAAGACCTACCCCCAAAATAAGCCCTAGCAGGATTTCTATGCATTTGTGGTATAAGCCCTAGTGTGTCTTCTTGAGAAAAAATAAATATAAGACAGTGTCTTATTTTCGGGGAAACACGGTATAGGTAGGAACTCTTGGTCTGGGGCAAGTGATGCACTGTATTCTTGGTCCTTGGGGGGGCAAGAGTGGGAGGGCTTCTAGTGTCCTGGCCCCACTGCTGGACCTCCTGATGGCACCTGGTAGTTTTGGCCACTGTGTGACAGAGTGTTGGACTGGATGGGCCATTGGCCTGATCCAACATTGGCTGCTCTTATGTTCTTAGAATGATTTCCAATTGGCAAAGGTGTCAGACAAGGATGTATTTTATCTCCCTAATTCAATCTATATGCAGAACATAACACAAGGAAATCTGGATTAGAAACATTAGGAAGAACTTCCTGGTAGTTAGAGCAGTTCCTCAGTGGAACAGGCTTCCTCGGGAGGTGGTGGGCTCTCCTTCTTTGGAGGTTTTCAAACAGAGGCTGGATGGCCATCTGACAGCAATGCAGATTCTGTGAACTTAGGCAGTTCATGAGAAGGGAGGGCAAGCAGGGTTGCCTCAGTGCTTAGTTCTCGTGGCCCTTTCTTACACGCCCAGGGAAATGCTGATCACCACTTTGGGGTCGGGAAGCAATTTTTCTCCAGACCAGTTTGGCCAGTGATCCTGGAGGTTTTTTGTGATGTTCTGGGCGTGGAACAGCGGTCACTGCAGGTGTGGAGGGGGAGGTATTTGTGAATTTCCTGCCTTGTGCAGGGGGTTTGACTAGATGACCCTGTAGGTCCCTTCCAACTCTATGATTATATGATTGTATGAAATATCATCCATTGCTTCTTTTATTCATCTGGGGTTCAGGGTATCCCAGCCGCCATCAAACTGTTTAACGCCAAGGCGGCTGCACATAGGGCTGGTATCTGGATTGGGAAAATAGGGGACTCTTTTGATTCAGTTCTTCTTAAAGTCCTGTGTTCCATTTGCAAAATTCCAAATTGTGTAGCAGGGGTAGCCCTCTGAGCTGAATTGCGGCAACCATCTCTTGAAGCTTGGGCTTGGCTGAAGGCTTTTCCCTTAAAGTTAAAATTATACACTCCGACCTCCAAGAGGGCTACCTTGGTTTAGTCATGGGTTCCGATGTCTCTACACTAATGCACAGAGTATGGGAAACAAGCAGGAAGAACCTGAAGTCCTAAGACAGGAAGGGGACTATGATCTTGTTAAAGACACATTGCAGTGAAACAGCTCTACTTCATTAAGTGATTTCAGGAACAAGACTAAAACCCCAGGGCAACAGCCCTGTTTAAATAGTATGCAAAAACCACACACAAACACACCCCACTCCCAACGATACACTATTTATATAACATCACTTCCTCATTGGTCACCTCCAGAGTCCTGGTGAGCTATTGTTCTGGATCTCCAAGCTCAGCCAGTTCCAGCCCTAATACATAACAGACCTAATAGGCATTACTGAAACTTGGTGGAATGACACTCACAATTGGAATATTAGGATTGAGGGATACAACTTATTTAAAAGGGACGGACAAACAAGGAAGGGTGGAGGAATTGCATTATATGTAAAGGAGGTATATACTTGTGAGGAAATACATTAATCTGAGCATGCAAGTCCACAGTTGAGAGTGTCTGGGTAAAAATAAAAGGAGAGTAAGAAATAATGGTGATATTATGGTGGGGGTCTGCTATAGACCACCAAGCCAAGCAGACAACTTGGATGAGACACTCCTAGAACAGATTACAAAGTTCTCAAAGAGACGGGACATGGTGGTCATGGGAGATTTCAATTACCCAGATATCTGTTGGAAGTCCAGCTCTGCTAAAAATGAAAGGTCCAATAAATTCCTGAGTTGTCTTGCTGAAAACTTCATTTCCCAGGAAGTGGAGAGGGAAACAAGGGAATCTGCTATCTTGGACTTGATTCTTACCAACAAGGAAGAACTGGTTGACAAGGTGAGAGTAGTGGGCACCCTGGGTAGTAGTGACCATACAATTTTGGAATTTACAGTCTTGTGGAAAGTAAAAGTTGTACATAGTCAGACATACAGGTTGGACAAAGAAAACAAATGCTGACAAACTTAAAGTTCTGTTGAGTAGAATCCCATGGTCAGAAATACTTAAAGAGAAGGGAGTTCAAGAGGGGTGGGAGTTTCTTAAAACTGAAACACTGAAGGCACAATCACAAATGATTCCTATGAGAAGGAAAAATAGGAGCCTAAAGAAGCCAAGGTGGCTCCATAAACAGCTTTCTAAAGACTTGAGAAATCAAAAAGACCCATTCAGAAAGTGGAAAAAGGGCCTTAAAAGCAAGGATGAGCATAAACAAACAACCAGTGCTTGTAGAGAGAGAGTTAGGAAAGCTAAAGCTCAGTATGAGCTTAGGGTAGAGAGAGATGCTAAAAATAGCAAAAAAAGGTTCTTTTCTTATGTTCAAAGTAAGAAAAAGAGCAAGAACATGGTAGGCCCATTGTGG